CCTAATTTGAGGTTTATTGATTTTGTTGATCTTTTCAAAGACCAACTTTTAGCTCTGTTAATTTTCTTATTTGTTTATTTGGTATTTCATTGTTTTTGCAATTATCTCCGTTATTTCCCTCCTGCTTACCTTGGATGTATTTTGCTCTTCATTTTCTAGCTTGTTAAGGTAGAATCTTGGATCATTATTTTATACCTATCTTCTTATGCTCTAAATTTAGATCCAGACATTGTTTTATCTGCATCCTACAAATGTGATGTGTTATATTTTTATTTTCATATAATTCAAAATATTTTCTAATTTTCTGTGTGGGTTTTTTTTTTTGATATTTGGGTTATTTACAAGTATATGTTTGAGTTGCCAATATTTACCTAATTTTTCTCTAGATATTTTATCCTTAATGATTTCTAATTCCATAATGGTTAGAGAACATATTCTGTAAGATTTCAGTATTTTGAAAAATTTATTGAGACTTTTTTTAATGGCCCAGCTTATTGAACATACTGTGTACATTTGAAAAGAATATGTATTCTGAATGTAGTGTAGTTGGATGTAGTGTTGTATAAATATCAATTAGCAGGTCAACATAATTGATAATTTTCAGGTTTTCTATCTTTTTAATATTAATTGCTGAAAAAGGAAAGTTAACATCTCCTACTATGATTGTGGGTTTGTCTATTTCTCTCTTTACTTCTGTCAGTTTTGCCTTCATGTATTTTGAAGCTCTGTAAATAGGATCATAAACCTTTATGACTGTTACGTCTTCCTGATGAACTGACCCTTTTATCATTGTGGAATTTCTATTTCTGGTGATACTATTTAAAATCTACTTTATCTGATATTAAAATAGCCACTCCGGTATTCTTATGCTTACTGTTTACATGGTATGTCTTTTTCTATCCCTTTATTTCAAACTATGTGTGTCTTTATATTTAAAGTGTCTCTCTTGTAGACAACTTTTTTATCCATTCTGGCAATCTCTGATATTTAATTGGAGTGTTTAGTCCATTTATATTTGATGTAACTCCTGTTATGTTTGGATTTGGATATACCATTTTATTATTTGTTTTCTGTTTGAACAGATTGTTTTCTGTTTTACTATTCCTCCTACCCTTTTTGGGTTGATATTTTTTTAGAATTCCATTGTAATTTTTCTATTGCGTTTTTAACTGTACTTCTTTGCATTTGTTTTTTGGTGGTTGCTCTAGTGATAAAAATATACATTCCCAACTTTTCACAGTGTGCTTAAAGTTAATAATGTACCACTTTATGTAAAATGTCAGTATCTTGTAATAAAATAGATCATCCTATTCCTATTTTATTCTTATTCTTGTTTTAAGGAAACTAACAGTTAGGAAAGTTAAGTGTAATACCTAAGATACCTACCTAATACCTATCACATGTCTAAATTTTGAAGGTTAAACCAAACTTACATTCTCAGAATCAACTTAACTTAGTTTTGGTATATATTCCTTTTTTATGTTTCTGTGTTCCATTTGGTAATATTTTAAGAATTTCGCTTCCATTTGAGTGAGAGAAATCGGCCTATAAATTTCCTGTATATAATATTTTTGTCAGGTCTTCTTATCAAGGTTATCTTGAACTCATAAAATGAGTTGAGGACATTTCTCCCTTTCCCTAAAATCTGGAAGAGTTTGACTAGCATTATAACTTTCCCTTTTTTTTAAAGATTGGCACCTGAGCTAACAACTGTTGCCAATCTTCTTTTGTTTTTTTTCTGCTTTTTCTCCCCAAATCCCTCAGTACATAGTTGTGTATTTTTAGTTGTGAGTCCTTCTAGTTGTGGCATGTGGGACACCACCTCCGTGTGGCCTGATGAGCGGTGCCATGTCCACACCCAGGATCCACCTGGCAAAACCCTGGGCTGCCAAAGCGGAGCACGTGAACTAACCACTTGGCCACGGGGCGGCCCACGTTATATCTTTCTGAAGCACTGGGTGGACTTTATCGGTCAAGCTATTTGACCCTTAGTTTTCTTTGTGGAAGATTTATAATTATATATTTAGATTTCTTTAATAGTTATATGAATATGTAAAGTTTCTGTTTCTTCTTATACCAGTGTTGGTAAATGCTGTTTCTCCATTTCTTCTAAATTTTCACAATTATTGGCATAACATTGTTTATTATGTCTTACACATATTTTTGTATGTGTGTTTGCCTCTTCTCTTACCTTCCCTTTTCTCTTTATCAGTTTTCTAGGAGTTTTTCAGTTTTTAAAAATCTTTACACAGAATGATTATTTGGCTTTGTTGATCCTTTTTATTGTATGCTTTTCCATGTTTTACAGCTCTGGTTTTTTGTGTTGTTTTCTGTTATTTTTATAAATTTTTGAAATAGATTCTTAGAAAGTCCCTCTGGCACAGCTTTAGGTGTATTCTACAAGTTTAATATGTAATTATTACTCATTATTATTCAATTCAAAATATTTTCTAATCTCTATTGTGAGTTCTTCTTTGAAGTATATTCCTTACTTTCCAAATATTCGGGGATTTTCTGCTTATATTTTTATTTCTTATTTCCTGCATTGTGATCAAAGAACATGTTCTATATGATTTCGATCTGTTGAAATGTGTTGAGATTTGCCCTATGACCTCACGTGTCAACTTTGGTAAATATTTTATGTGTACTTAAAATGAAATGATGTTTTACAGTAGTGTACAGTGTTTTATCAAATGCTCATTAGGTCAGGTCTGCTAACCATGTTATTCAAATATTCCATATCATTACTGATTATTTTGTTTATTTGTTCCTACTGAGTTATTTCAAAATCTACCATTGTGCTTATGGATTTGTCTACATTTTTGTTTCAGTAAATTTTTCTTTATTTAACAATCTACACTTTTTAAATAACTTCCAAGTGAATCAATTTTTTGTCAATATCAAGTTAAAGTGTACCTGTTTAATTTAGTAATGCTTTTTGCCTCGGGGTCTTCATTTGGTATAATATAGCTGTATCAAGTTTCTTTTGGTTTTTATTTGCATTGTCTTTTTTCATTTTTTTACTTACAACTTTCTCCATCCCTTGTTTTAGATGTTTTTCATGTAAATGGCGTATATATTTTATGTGCCTGACAACCTTTGTCTTTTAATTAGAGCATTTAGCCCATTTCTATGTAATGGGCTTTCTAATATATTTGGATTTAAACCTACTATTTTACTGTTTCCTTTTATTTGTTGCGTGCCATCCATGTTCATTTTCATTCTCTTTTTTGCCTCCTTTTGGGTAGGTGATTTCATATTATTGTATTACCCTTCTCTTAGTAGGTTAGTAGTTACATGTTGTTGTATTTTCTTCTAGTGGTTACCCCAGAGGTTATAACAGACATCCTTGACTTATCAAAATCTAATATAAATTACTACTTTTATTTCCTCTTGGATAACACCAGGACCTCAGAAATTGTAACTACACTGTCCCCTCTCTGACTCATATACATTTGTTGTCATATCTTTTATTTTTTTTATTTGATCCCAACAGGACATTTTATATTTATTTCATAATGTCAATATGCATTTATATTTTCTATATATTTACCATTTTTGTTCCTCTTAATTTTTTTCTGCATCACTAAGATACATAGGATCATTTTCCTTGTGCCTGAAAACATCCTGTAGTTATTTTCTTTAGTGTTGCTCTTTTGATGATGAATTTGCTTAGATGTTTTTTTTTGTCTGAAAATATTTTCATCTTCATTCTTGAATGATTTTCACTGGATATAACACTAGATTGCTTTTAGTTTCTTTAAAACCTTGCAAATATCATTCTGTTGTCTAGTGTCTTCCATTGTTTTTGCTGCAAGGTAAGCTATTTGTCTAAAGATGTTGCTTTTTGTAGGTAATCTGTTGTTTTTTTCCTCTGGCTGTTTTTAAGATATTTTTTTTGTTTCAAGTTTTAAGTGTTTTTTCTACAAAGTACCTACTTGTGGATTATTTATTTATTTATTTATTTAGTTTGGGCTTGATGTTCTTAGTGGCTCTGGAATGTATGGTTTGATTTTTTTAATCAGTTTTTAAAAGTTTTCAGCCTTTCTCTCTTCAAATACTTCTCCTACACCATTCTTTTTCTTCTATCATTTGGGATTCAGATCGTAGATATTCACACCCATGTTAAAAACATTATTTTTTGATAATTTTTCTAATTCTGTCATTTTTTTCTTTAGCTTTTAATATATATGTTTTATTTTTCTAAAATAATGATCAATTCTTTTCCCCCAACCTTTAAAACAATTCTGCCAATATTATTTTTGCTATTTTCACAGTTATTCAAAGAGGTTAACTAACTTGCCCAAGTTCACATAACTGCCAAGAAACTAAGGCTGAATTTGAACCAAAGTCCAATTGATTAAACATTTCTTGCTCTTAATTATATGAGGTCTTTCATCTATGTCTCTCTGTCATTCTCAGTTGATATTTGGAGAATACCTGTTATACAAAGTGGTGTGTACATTGATGAATTGTCTTAGTCTATCTTAAAATAACATTCTGTCATTCCACTTATATTTATTGTGCAAACAGAAGTACATAAATTTATGAGCCAAATATTACCCCCTTAAGGAGTTTATTTTCTACAAGGAAAAAAGAATGTACACAGTTTATTCTAATAGAGGATATGAACAGATAGTTTCCATGGATAGAAACAAGTAAGACGGTAATGTTCCAGCTGATGAAATCAACATAACAAAAATTCATTGAGTAGGTAGAATTTGTCACAAAAGAGATGGCAAGGTGGGAATTTTTTTTACTCTATTTAAGGGTAACATGTATTATACATTTATATTATATTATGTATGTTATACATGTATATTATACATTTGTTCATTAATCCAAATAAAGAAAACCGATACTAGTGTTTCATGTTATGTTTTCCCCCTAACATACTCAAATTGTCACTAATTGGGTAGTTAGTCATGTAAGCAGTAAAATTTTGTCCATCATGATACATTATACATAGTGATTAAAAAAGTTGTGGGGTTTTTTTCCAGGTTATTTCATTTTTGGCTGCAGTTTTGCATAAAAAAGGAACTCGTGAGGATATTGAAAATAACATGCCAGAGTTTTTACTAAGAAGTATGAAAAAGGAACCCTCTTCTTCTACAGCAAAAAAGGTAAGATATCTAGAAATATACAACTCATAAAGCTAGTATTGCAAAAGTATGTAGAAACTTTTAAACATCACACAGTAAATTTAAAACATAAGAATTTAAAGACATTATTAAAATATTTGTTTTATAGACCTAATATTTGAAGGATTATCAATTTCCTCCTCAAGTTAAATATGATTGACTCTCAAAATGGGAAAATATAATTTCAGCTTGAATTTCTTTTCAAGTCTTTTGCTTGGCTGGTGTACATGATTTGCTTTGATTAATTTGTTAAATTTTCATGAGTGTCCATGTAAAGTTAACTGAAGTACATCATATTGTTTTTTATTTATGTGAAAACGAAAAAGAGACAGTTGTAGATATTGGTAACAAAGGTGTGTCATTGATAAAGTTGCTTAGCAGACTACATCCTGAAAATATGCAACAAATTCTTCTTATACAAGGAGGATTCAAGCTGGAATCGGAAAGGCTAAGATCTAGGCTTGTCTCTATCTCTGCACATGTGAATGCTTTTCATGTCCATACTTCAGTTTTCTCCTTTGTAAATATATGTTTAAAACTATCTTATATATGATCTTATAAAAAATAAGAGATTTCTAATAAAATAATGAATGCAAAAAATTGTACTCTACTTATGTGTCTGACTTTTATATTGTCCTTAGCATCCAGGAAACTGGATAGAAACAAAGATAAAGTGATTTTATAAAATCTTTATTATATTATGGTGATGGACCACTTTCCACAAATTTTAAAATAGAGTCTTATATATAAGATTGCTGAGAAGTCAAAGTTTACTCTTGTCTATCAGTAGGGACATTTCAGTATAAAATTTTGAGAAGTATTGGCTTAAGGTATTCTAATTATTATTACTTTAAATGTCCTATTATTTTTAGTGTCATAAATACATCTGAGTGTCAAATTCAATTTGATCCTAAAAAAGCATCACGATTCTTAATGTGTTTTAAGTCTTCATGAGTTCAAGTACTGTTTTTAGCCTTGTTTTCAGTTATTTGGTTCTACGTATCAGTGCAGAGCTTATAAATGTCTGTGTCACTTGTTATAATTAGCAGACAGGAGATAGAAAAAAGAGGGAAAAGTAATACTTTAAATATTTAAAAATACTTAAGGATACTTAAAATATTTCAGAAGAAGAATGGGAGAAGAGAGAAGAAAGTAAAGATATTCACTTGATGGTGTGATGAAATATGCTAATAGCTATCTTAATTGACACTAATGCCTCTCTTGCTCTTTTCCTCTCTCTCTCATATGTATACGTGCGCGCACACACACATATGTGTATAAATTCCTTGCCATAATATACATTGCTATTTTTCTACCTCCTTCAGTAAATTCTTAATTCATTTATTTTCAGTCTTTGTATTCTAATAAATTTCATTAAAGCTATAAATGTTTCTTTGAATACTACTTTGGCTGCATTCAAATAAATATTATAAATACAGTATATATAATAAATATAGTATATATATAAATATAGTATATATAAATCAAATAAATATTATAATATATTTTGAAATCAGGGAGTGTGATGGCTCCAGCTTTGTTGTTCTCTCTCAATATTGCATTGGCTAATTGTGATCTTTTGTGATTCCATACAAATTTTAGGATTGTTTGTTGTATTCTGTGAAAAATGCCATTGGAATTTTGGTAGAGATTGCATTGAATCTGTACGTTGCTTTCAGTAGTATGGACAGTCCTTCCAATCCACAAGCATGGAATATCTTTCCATTTATTTGTGTCATCTTTAATCTTTTTCATCAATGTCTTATTGTTTTCAGTTACAGGTCTTTCACCTCCTTGGTTAAATTTATTCCTAGGTATTTTATTCTTTTTGATATAGTCTTAAATGAGATTGTTTTCTTAATTGCTTTTTTTGATAGTTTGTTATTAGTAGGTAGAAATGCACAGATTTTTGCATATTGATTTTGTATCCTGCAACTTTTCTGAATTTATTAGTTCTAACAGTTTTTTGGTGGAGTCTTTAGGGTTTTCAATATATATCATGTCATGTGCAAATAGTGACAGTTTTACTTCTTCTTTTCCAAACTGGATGCCTTTTATTTCTTTTTCTTGCCTGATTGCTGTGGCTAAAACTTCCAATAATATGTTGAGTAAAAGAGGCGAGACTGGGCATCCTTGTCTTGTTCCTGATCTTAGAGGAAGTTTTCAGCTTTTATCACTGAGTATGTTGTTAGCTGTGGGCTTGTCATATATGGCCTTTATTATGTTGAGGTATGTTCCCTCTATATACACTTTGTTGAGAATTTTTATCATAAATGGATGTTGAATTTTTTTAAATACTTTTTCTGCATTGATTGAGTTGACCATATGATTTATATTCTTTTTTATTGATGTAACTGATTTATAACATTGTATAAATTTCAGGTGTACACCATTATATATTTTGATTTCCATGTAGATTGCAATATGTTCACTACCCAAAGACTAATTACAATCCATCTCCACACACATGTGCCTAATCACCCCTTTGCCCTCCTCCCTCCTGCCTTCCCCTCTGGTAACCACCAATCCGGTCTCCGTTTTTGTGTGTGTTTGTCGTTTTTATCTCCTACTTAGGAATGAGATCATACGGTATTTGACTTTCTCCCTCTGACTTATTTCACTTAGCATAATGCCCTCAAGGTCTATCCATGTTGTCCCAAATGGCTGGATTTCATCCTTTCTTATGGCTGAGCAGTATTCCATTGTGTATATAGACCACATTTTCTTTATCCATTCATCCCTTGATGGGCACCTAGGTTGCTTCCAAGTCTTGGCTATTGTGAATAATGCTGCAGTGAACACAGGGGTGCATGTATATTTATACATTTGTGTTTTCATGTTCTTAGGATAAATACCCAGCAGTGGAATAGCTGGATCATAGGGTAGATCTATTTTTAATTTTTTGAGGAATCTCCATACTGTTTTCTATAACGGCTGCACCTGTTTTCACTCCCACCAGCAGTGTACGAGGGTTCCCTTCTCTCCACATCCTCTCCAACGCTTATTGTTTCCTGTCTTGTTAATTATAGCCATTCTCAGGGGAGTGAGGTGATATCTCATTGTAATTTTGAAATCCATTTCCCTAATTGTTAGTGGTGTTGAACATCTTTTCATGTGTCTATTGTCCATCTGTATATCTTCTTTGGAGAAATGTCTGTTCAGATCTTTTGCCTATTTTTTAATTGGGTTGTTAGGTTTTTGTTGTTGAGATGTATGAGTTATTTATATATTTTGGATATTAAGCCCTTATCAGATATATGGTTTGCAAATATGTTCTCCCAATTGTTAGGTTGTCTTTTCATTTTGTTGATGGTTCCCTTTGCTGTACAGAAGCTTTCTAGTTTGAAGTAGTCCTGTTTGTTTAGTTTTTCTATTGTTTCCCTTGTCCAGTCAGACATAGTACTTGAAAATATGCTGCAAAGACCAATGTTGAAGAGCATACTGCCTATGTTTTCTTCTAGAAAATTAATGGTTCCAGGTCTTACATTCAAGTCTTTAATCCACTTTGAGTTAATTTCTGTGTATGGTATAAGATAGTGGTCTAGTTTCATTCTTTTGCCTGTGACTGTCAAGTTTTCCCAACACCTTTTATTAAAGAGACTTTCCCTTTTCCATTGTATATTCTTGGCTTCCTTGTAAAAAATTAGCTGTCCATAAATATGTGGGTTTATTTCTGGGCTCTCAATTCTGTTCCATTGATCTGTGTGTCTGTTTTTGTGCCAGTACCATGCTGTTTTGGTTACTATAGTTTTGTAGTATATTTTGAAATCAAGGAGTTCAAAATATCCAGCTTTGTTCAGTTTCTTCAGAATTCCTTTGGCAATTTGGGGTCTTTTGTTGTTGCATATAAATTTTAGGGTTCTTTGTTCTATTTCTGTGAAAAATGTTGTTGGAACTTTGATAGAGATTGCCTTGAATCTGAAGATTGCTTTAGGAAGTATGGACATTTTAACTATGTTAATTCTTCTAATCCAAGAGTATGGAATATCTTTCTATTTCTTTGTGTCTTCTTAAGTTTCTTTCAACAGTGTTTTATAATTTTCACTGTACAGATCTTTCACCACTTTGCTTTAGTTTATTCCTAGATATTTTATACTTTTTGTTACAAGTGTAAATGGGGTTGTGTTCTTAATTTCTCTTTCTGCTACTTCGTTGCTAGTGTATAGAAACGAAACTGATTTTTATATGTTGATTTTGTATGCTGCGACTTGACCATATTCATTTATTATTTCTAAAAGTTTTTTTTAGTGTATTCTTTAGGTTTTTCTATATATAAAATCATATCATCTGCAAATATTGACAGTTTTACTTCTTCCTTTCCAATTTGATCCCTTTTATTTCTTTTTTTTACCTGATTACTCTGGCTAGGACTTCCAATACTATGTTAAATAAGAGTGGTGAAAGTGGGCATCCTTGTTTGGTTCCTGTTCTTGGAGGGATAGCTTTCAGTTTTTCTCCATTGAGAATGATAGCTGTGGGTGTCATATACAGCCTTTATTATGTTGAAGTACTTTCCTTATATACCTGTTTTATTCAGTTTTTTATCATAAATCACTGCTGTACCTCGTCAAATGCTTTCTCTGCATATATTGAGGTGATTGTGTAATTTTTGTTCTTCAGCTTGTTAATGTGGTATATCACCTTGATGGATTTGCAGATGTTGAACCATCCCTGCATCCCTGGAATAAATCTCGCTTGATCATGGCATATGATCTTTTTAATGTATTGTATTCTTTGCTAGTATTCTTTTCAGGATTTTTGCGTCAACGTTCATCAGTGATATTGGCCTGTAATTTTCTTTTTTTGTGTTGTCCTTGTCTGGTTTTGGTATCAGGATAATGTTGGCTTCATAGAATGAGTTAGGAAGCCTCCCCTCCTCTTCAATTTTTTGGAAGAGTTTGAGAAGGATAGGTATTAAGTCTTCTTTGAATGTTTGGTAGAATTCACCAGGGAAGTCGTCTGGTCCTGAACTTTTATTTTGG